TTCGGTATTGACGCGTCGCGAGGAAAGTAGAAACTGAGAGAGAGAGGAGAGAGAGAGAGAGAGAGAGAGAGAACAGATGAGTTTAAAAGAGGGTGAGAGAGGAGGTGGGGCCGCCGGCGTGAGGGATGGCGTGTGGGTTTTCGGGATTCTGAGTATCTTATTTTTGCCCTTTTTACATTTACTATATTTTTGGTGTTTTTAAAGGAAATTAATTAATACTTATGTGGCAAAATAAGGTTGGTTAACGTTTAGGTGTTGACGGTCATTTCACAAAAGGTTAAATATGGTATTTTCCTCTAAAAGAGGGTGGAAAAATAATGTTGTGTGGTGAGTATAATACCACTTTTATATAATGACATTTGTTCTCCAATTATATAATGACATTTGTTGTTTCGTCTCGTTCCAAACACACTAAAAAAATCTCACTTTAACTGGGGCCACTCCTGTCATCTTCGTGTTCTTGAAAAACTGATACGTGGGCATCCGTCATCGTTTCAAAGCACTAAGCGTTTAACTCACGTCATAGCCAAACCCTAATTAATAGCTAATTATACAATTGGTTCTTTAATTTGCCACTGTAATCGGTCAAATCTGCAAGCATGCCGCACGTCTACTAATATTCCACAGAATCTGCTATATATCACTAACTCTGGTTGATTGCATTTCGCTTGATGTACGTTGTGTGTGAACGATTAATTAGGCAAAAAGTTTTAGATAAATTTTTATATGTACATGAAATACTTTTTATTTGTACATTTGTACATATTATAATTTGTATAAAATTGTAACGCAATTTGAAGGAGACCGTGTTCTTAAAACATTAAAATCTCTAAACCGTCTTGGTCTTACCTCTAGCTAGTGGTATGCCACCTGTCTTATATATAAATATTTTAATTCATCTGATATTGTGTTTGTAGGGAAACAGCTGGTTTCAAATCATGCATGTTCGTTTCCTATATGATTGGTCAATTATATAACAAGAGCAATCCATATCCTTCATGAAATTTTGAGTTTGACACGCAAAAATAAGCCACCTGTACAAGTCAAACACAGATAGAGCTTTTCTGAACGATTAATTCCAAATTATTAGTAAATAATTAGATCCCGTGAAATCTACCAAAAGTTGCTTTTACTTGCCGCATGCATGTCGATTTCAACGAGTAGTGTGCAAGTTTCCTTCCTCTTCCATTCCTCTATCTGTATTGCTTATACGACTTTATTTTCTAGAACTTAATTTTCTCCACCTAAAGTTTAACGTAAATTTTTTGTTCAAATAAAACTCATTGACTAGATTATACAAAAGAAAATTCATTAATTATGTTTGACTTTACCCATTTAAATTTTTTTTTGAATGCCTAAAACACCCTTATTGAATGTTTAATGTACACAATTAATTCTATGCAAATTGTAAAGAAGAATTAATGATTTTACAAAAATAATATTTTGCATATAAATGTAGGCATTTGTTGGTTAGTTTGGCTTTCAAATTCCAATTTACCATTACAACATGTCCATATTATATATAGGTAAATTATTGTACTTTAAAATATATAAAAAAATTGTTGTCAAATTAAAAATATATAAATTAAAGGAGATAAAAATTCCAGGTAAATTAATTTTAGGACAAAGAAAAAGAAAAGAACCAACTATAGGTAAATTATTTACATATATAGTCTAGGTATTTGATTCACATAAAAAATGTAGGTAAACCACGTGTGCATAATTTACCTACTATTATTGAAATTTACCTACTTGCATAATTTACCTACTATTATATTAATTTACCTACTTGCATAATTTAGGAATAATGCCAACAAAACATGAGAATATTTTTTTTTTGTTGAAGAGACAAAACATGAGACTATTATTTGCATGTATCATAGGTAAATTGCCAAAAGAAATATGAGAATATTTTGTTTATATACTGTAGGTAAATTACAGACTCTAGGGCGATATTCTTTATATAGGTAAAGTAGGGACATTTAACTACTATATATAAGGAAAATAATTACACCGAATAATAATGTAATCATTATTTAAAGTAATGCACTAGATTGTTGTAGAAATTAAAAATAAATAAATAGAAAAAACGCCTTATATTTTAAGGCCCTTGATTGAAGCTAATTTTCAAGTGTGGGTTGTGGCAAAAATTGTAAATAATTTGTATTAGTAAGTTACTTATATTCTTATGTGGTAGTTTATTTGACTTTTGGATTTTTATTAGATGTTTAATTATATGTGGGTTTATGTTTAGAAATCATGATTTTTCAAGACCAATATCTAATGAACCCTTGTTTCTTTTTCACTTTTAAACCTAATTTTTATTACCTAATCGAGCAGATCAGAGCATTGATTTTGGTTTTTGACTATATAGCCGTCAATATGCAGATAATCTGTATGGTAAAAATGAGACACCTGCGGCCAACAAATTATACCAAACTTGGGGTCCCCTCCAAGAATACCACTAATTATAATATCATAAAGATTAACAAAAGTGCCTTCTTTTTCTTGTATAGTTAACAATAAAAGGTTGGACTGCTTGAACAACTGATGCATATACGGTTGATAATAATATTCTTGTATGGTTAACAATAATACTATTTAATTTCCATTTTTTGTGACAATAGATAATGTTAATTGGTACTATATCTTATTTTTCTTCTTCTTCTTTTTAATTTTAATTATTTTTTTTAGTTATTTTTTGGAGTACTGAAATTAAGATATTGATGGTGTTGTGCGTTATGAGGTGTGTTCCAACTAAGTATTTGAGGGTCCAAGAGTGATTAATTAGCTTTAGGGTAAACAAGGAGCCGTGAAGAGTTCTTAGCTGATCCCCATCCATAATCTCCGACTTCGACAAAAATCTGGATAAAAATGCTGTTTTAGATATATTTTATATCATTTGATTTTGTTTCAAGTTTTAAATGTGTTTATGGGGTTGCATGATGCATGCATTATCTGTTTATCTTTCTTTAGCTACATGGTTGCTTGAGAGTTATCAGAGGAGGGCTTTTGGCTTGTATTTGCAATGCGCCTATGTCATACACTTTTAGGATTAATAATTGGATTAAGGTAGATTTCTATTATATAAATCATGTACCAACTGCCAACTATGACGACCTCTTATCCTTTCCAACTTTTTCTCTACCTTAGCTGGCTAACTATGAACTTGATGATATTATCATGATATGGGTAATGTATGGGTAATGTATTTTATTTTACTAAAAAAGGAAAAACAGAAATCTACCCGAGATATGGGTAATGTATTTTATTTTACTTAACTTTGTACTTCAAGCATGGTAGATTACAAAGTAAAACTAAACTAACCCATCCAGATGAAGTTTCAAGCTAAACACTTGGACATCACAAATTGAGTGACGTGAAATACGTGTGGTCATTGGGTTTCACATGTAGGCTAATCTGCTTTGATACCATAAAGAAAGTTGAGGTTCAAACATAAAATCAATTGACAATATGAAGAGTAGTCCAACTACTTATAAGAACATGTAAGGTTCCTCCTTTCCCTAATGTGGAATTCAATCTCAATACATAATTTCACTTAAGTTTGTACCTTTATTTCTTTTTTGGGAGGGATCATTGAACAAAGTTATTGATCTAAATCAGTTGAAGGAGAGGATTAAGAATCAGATTGAAAGGCGTAAATTCGATAACAAAGTTGAATTTTTGTAGATTTTGACTCATGGCTGTCATTTCGAAAAGAACGACATTACGAACAAATCCTTTGTAATCTTAGTCCAATCCTATTGACAATTTTAGCCGAATTATAAATTTGTTTTCTAACCCTAAACAACATTCTAAGTCTTGACTTTTGAGGGTATTTTTCGTATTTTCATTTGGCATTTTCCTTTCTATAGATTCCTACAAAGCCTAGGGTTGTAGTAGACTAAAAATATTCTTTTGTGGTGTTAGACCAACTCCAATGGTGGTCTAAAAGTCAAATTACCCCCCAAAATTTCCCCCCAAACCCACTCCAACCCAAGGGGAAATTTTGGGCTAAATGCTAAATGTTAAACCAATGCCAAATTCTCCCCAAAATTTAGCCCAGAAATCGGAGTGGACTCCACCCAATATTTATCAGAATTTAAATTTTTTTAGACTAAAATGTTTATAAAATTAATTTACGATGGTCTACATATTTATTTTTTTAAAACATTTAATTTAACAAAAAAAAAATAGCCGAAGTTCATTCTTTAATAATCTCGGGCTAAAATTTTAGGCTAGAACGGTTGGAACAAAAAAGCTGTTTCTGGAATAAAAGCTAAATTTTCTGGGCTAAAAAATTTGGCTTTTAGCCTAACCATTGGAGATGGTCTTAGGGTTTTAAATTATTCAATAAACTTTGAGGATTTTTCCTATCTTTTAGTGAATTAAAAATTCTTATGCATCAAGCTTATTTTTGGTATTTAGCTTGTTATTCGAGAGTCTAAAATTTCTTACCTATAAATAAAGATGAATATGCTATGAATTTGACTATTTTTAATGAGACTAAAAAAAAAATTGAATATATTACAAATATAATAGTACTGAAGGATAATTAGCTTGTTTTGGCCTTCGCTAACGTATTGGTTCTATGGTGTAGTGGTTAGCACTCTGGACTTTGAATCCAGCGACCTGGGTTCGACTCCCGGTAGGACCTCTTTTTGTTCCTTAATTTTTTGTATAGAATATATACCTTGGAAGGCCCCACGTGGAAAACCTTTTGGTGGTTTGTAGTCTGCTTCTGCAGCTGGAGCTACCGTACGCTATCCACGTGTTTATAGCACTCTGGAAACATAAGAAAACGCGATGGAAGCTACACCGATCACATTCCGTCCACAGAAACTTTTGTTCGGTGCGGTGGGTTTCGGTGGCCCAGTCAAACTCTAGCCAGATCTACGATGGACGAAGGAGATCGGACGAACCTCTTGAAAGTATCCCTAGACTAGCTAGTCAGTGTACTTTATTGAACAGAATTAGAAGGAAACATGTTTCATATATATCATGCAAAAAAATTTTATTTCACAAAGCTAACTTTTCTTACAATTCATCAGGAATTCCTAATTACCAAAGATCTGCTAACAAATCTAGTTGCCCTAGCTTGTTTCATCAGACTGTTGGTTTGTACTCATAGAGTTTTCTGCAGCTGTTGTATGAGAAAACAAGGAAGGCTTGGGTGCAATTTGCAAGGACTGAATGGGTCCTTCCAACATCTCCACCACTTTGCTCATCGATGGCCGATCGGAAGGAATGGTCTGAATGCACCACATGCTTATTAACACCATCTTTCTTGCTATTTCATTTTCCTCCTCACTGCTAGCCCCAAAAACATTCGCATTGTTCTCTAGCTCTAGATCTTTATAAATGTAATGCGGAAACATTTCACTCGTATGAGACACTCCGGAATCCAAATTCTTTCTTGCTCCAACCATTTCGAGAACCAGCATTCCGTAGCTGTACACATCAGACTTGTGAGACACTCCCCCAAAGCTCCGACTAAATACTTCAGGTGCGATGTATCCTGCAGTTCCTCTTGTGCCCAACATCGACACAATGCTCTCCTTCGCTTTGCATAATTTTGCAAGACCGAAATCAGCGATTTTCGGGCAAAAGTCTTTGTCCAAAAGAATGTTTTGCGGCTTTATGTCGAAATGCAAAATTCTCGTGTTGCAACCGCGGTGCAAGTACTCTAGTCCTCGCGCAACACCGACTGCTATTTCGGATAATGTCTTCCACCCCAAGCGACAATTGTCAATATCGGATCCTTGCTTATGTATGAAATTATCAAGAGATCCGTTAGGCATAAATTCGTAAATCAGAGCTCTTTTGTCCCTCTCGTAACAGAATCCGAAAAGCGTGACTACATTGACATGGGAAGTTCTACCAATGCTAGCAACCTCATTGATAAATTCTTCTCCATTTCCTTTGGAATCGCTGAGGACTTTCACTGCAACAAGACAGCCGTCGGGTAGTTTTCCTCTGTAGACAGTGCCATATCCTCCTTTACCTATTTTATCTCTGAAGGAGATTGTCATTTTTTTCACGTCTGAATAACTATACCGCTTTGGAGTAAGTGATCCATAATTCCTTATAAAAGCCCCGACATCAAAATCATCCGTTTTATCCTTCTTTGAGAAGCACATTAATTTTTTTTTCCTCGATATGCATACTGTGCAAATAACTGCTACTATAGTCCCCGAAACACCAGCAGAAATACCTATGTTAAAAAAATTGTTGAAGTTAGGCATTTCCTAAATTATTCGAGCACATAAAAGCATATTAAAAAGAAGGGAAATGATAACCACTCTTTTTTCTCCTTTGCTCACAGAAATAATAAACATAATTAAACTGTTCGAATATGATCATAATGCTCTTGACTTTATTATGTGTGTATTTGATATGCGGAGGTGCACTATAAGATTGGTGTACTTATATAAACTTAACCAAAAAGTATGACTTATCATAGGATGTTAAAACTCTTCTATAAATGATAATGATAGACAATCCAGAAAAGTCTTATAACTCTTTAGAAAGGGTAAAATGAATGTCTATAAATGAAAGATTCATTCCTCCGACGTGAAAATAATCTCTTCGTTCTTTTGATGTGTTATTTCTCCTTTAGCACTATCACATAATCATCAACAGTCTAACAACGATGGAGATTAATCTCATGATATCTAGAAAGATGTACGAAAGAGAAAAGCGTATTATATGATTATCATTTCCTGAGCAAAAGACCAAAAAACTTCTACGATTTGCCATTCATCACATGCACGTAGTACTTACCAATTTTCCAACTAGGCGACAATGAACCTGCAACAGATAAAGGTTATGTGTTAAGTGTTGTAAACCTGTAATTCTACATCCGTAGATTCATTTGACAAAATTTATTAAATCATCTCAAGAAGTACATAGAACATAGGTTACGTTTATATTACCATATAATGAAATAAATGACAGAAAAGTTTAGTCACTTGAACTAGGATTCTAATTAGTTTATACAAAAAAAAAAAAAAAAATTGTAGGTGAAGTAATTGTGCGCCCTACTTCTCCTCTTTCTCTCTCTTATCTTTCTCTGCAACTTCTCCTCTTAATTACTCTCTCTCGTTTCTCGCTCATCTTTTCTCTCTCTATTTCTCTCTTCTCTCCATAACCTCGTCATTGTGCACCCTACTTATACTGTTGCCGGTGCCTTTGTCAGATCCCGAGCACACTAGTTTGATGCATCAAACGTCGCCCGTGACGTGAGTGGATTTGGGAAGTTGTGGTTTTGGTGTATAAGGGGAGGAATAAGAAGAAAGAAGAGGTTGCTGAGTTTTTTGAGATTTGAGGGTGATGGGCTTTCTGAGATTAGGGCAAACCAATTTCCAGGTTTCTAACATTTAAGATATATGTTTGCTGGATAATTAATCTGCGGTTGCTGAGTTCATCTCCATTTTTTAATTTTTTTTTATATTAAATAAAATAACCAATTTTCATATTTTATTAAAAAATAAAACACCCAAACCGAACCTAATAAAATTGAACCAAAAATGAACCAATCCATAAAAAGCCAACAAACCGATCCGTAAAAAGTTGACAAAAAACGAACCTACGAAATTCTTAGTAGTGCTTTCAAATTTAAGGAAGTGCTTTTATAATGGCCAATGAGTGTGACACTTTTATCTCTTACTTTAAAGAATGTTCTTTGAAGAGGTTAAGGGAGTGACAACAAAGACCTAGCGGGTGGGTCCTCCGGAGGTGGATGATTAAGAGAGGTTGGTGAGTTTTTCTTGCTTTCATAAAAAGTTTTATGATGCTACCTTGACCCTTAATGCAACCCTAACTCCAATGTCAAACTTAATACTCGGCACGGTGATTGCGATGCAAGTGGAGATACAAGAGCAAATTTTAAACATCTCTAATGTCACTTTGTAAAGTGTGCTACTTCCATGAAACTAAAATTTGGCAAATATTGGGTGACATTGACGAGGTTAACCCTATACTTTTTATAGCCCAAGCACTCGACTCGAGGTACAAATTCGAAATGGTGGAAACAAACCTAGGGATACTCGACTATGGATGAAAAAAAAATAGTGTAGGTGAAAGAAAATGTTAAAAGAAATATAACCGAGTTGTATAATGCATATAGGGAGGGAGCAACCCCTAGTAGTAGTACAAGTGTGGAGAAAAGATCAAGTGTTGTAGTAGATGATGTTTTGGTGAGATAGCCAATGAAGTCAATATGTACTTTAACGATCCATATCAAAGCCTATCATATAAGGGTTTCAACCTTTTGGATTGGTGGAAAAGGAATTGTGGTACATATCCAACTCTTAGTAAGGTTGCTAAGGATGCTAATGAGAATGCCTTTAGTCTTGTTAAGGCTTTAGTGTGTACTAGTGGTTGGCTTAGGGGGAGTTGATTTTGTTTCTATGAGGTGCCTATGATCGATGAACTCACATTCTACAAGGAACTTGAAGACTTAGAGAAGAGTAAGTGAAATATTTAATTTTATGTTTTTATTTTTTCAGTGTTTATTATTCTATACATTTAATTTTCTAAATCATTTATGGTTTATTGTCTTAGGGATGCCTAATTTGGAAGGTGAGGAGAATCCAACTTAAGGAGAAGAAATGCCGTGTCCTCCACCACCTCAAGTTCAAGTTCAACAATGCCAATCACTGCCTTCACAACCACCCATTTCAAGAGCACTACAACAAGGGTTAACCATCAACAAAGGCAAAGGGTTAACCATCAACAACAAGGGGAGAGGGTCAACCATCAACAAAGGCAAAGGGTCGAAGCGGGCAATCATCATGAACTTAAGCTTAACTTTTTGCTTTTGGTTTGTAACTTAAGTAAAATTCATTTGAAATTTTGGTTTGTACCCGAATTTTTTACTTTTGGGTTTGTAACTTAACTTATTTCATTTGGTTGCATGCATTTGAATTTAAGTAGTTAGATAGTACAATTGCAGTATAAATTTGGCTTCAATATGAATTAGTAAGAAATTAGGAATAGGAATTGAAATTTGAAACTAGGCTTCAATTTGTTACACTTTCCCAAAAAATTGGGTTGAACAAAGTTCAGCCCAAAATCCAGAATTTAAAAAAAAAAAAAAAAAAAAAACCCTGGCAATTTGGGCTAAAGGCCCAATCCTGAAATGTATCAAAATACTGAAAATTTTCGAGAATATTGAAATTTCGGTTTTCGAAATCTCGTCTCGAAAGGGATCGGTTCGAGATTCAGTATGCCATTTTCGATTTAGGATCCTTATCACCTAGAAATAAAGATGGGTGCGTATGAGGAGAAAAAATGATCCATATAAATCATTTCAGAATAACATGTTAGGGGATACATAACATACCTAATGGTTCAATTGAAGTTGAATCACATATGGTTGCGTACGATTGGTCTTGGCAAAAGCAAGCGAATCCACTGCTCGTCGTGTTAAGCCCACACCTACCACCTGATTCCTCACAACTGTAGCATTGATCATTAACACCTACAATGGTTGAGGCTTTAGTGTGTACTAGTCATTGGATTAGGAAATTTTGAGTAGAAATTTCATTGTTCCACATCGGTCACTGCCAAAAGGTTCTCTCACTTTATAAGGTTTTGTCCTTATAGATAGTAATTGGAGTGATGGACCATGTAGAATGAAATTGGGCTCAACCTTGGAGTTGGGCTTTGGGGTGTACTAATTAATTGATAATTAATATATATAATTAATTATCAACAAACTCAGCTTTTTAGATGAAGTCTAAAGTGATGAAAGAACGCAGAGCAAAGCACCCTTTTGAGAAAGATGTCTTCTAACAAACGCACCCCATTCTCATACATATTGCGAACATGTATAAACCTACTATATATATACATCCATCTGCATGGCATTTAGAACACAGAAAAATCAAAATTTTCTTCTACAATCCTAAACATTCTTACTGAGAGAACCACATCGAAATTCGCTAGAAGTCAAGTTTTCCGGTTTTGGAATTCTGACTTGGATCGTTGAATCCTGGTGAAGCAGACATTCGTAGAACTACAAGCACTGAGTAGGGACGAAATTTCTGTTGCGATACGCAAGCCTTGATCTTCAAGTTGTCTGTTTAATATTTTTTTTGTTTTGTTCATACTTTGTTAATTTATCTTTTCACATTTATTATTTATTAGCATATATAAATTATCATTGATTGTTGATTTTTATCCAACATTTGTTTCTATAAGGAGCCTACAATCGATGAACTCACATGACAAGGAACTTGAAGACTTAGAGAAGAGTAAGGGAAGTATTTAATTTTATGTTTTTATTTTCTTTGTATTTATTATTCTATACTTTGAATTTTCCAAATAATTTGAGGTTTATTGTTTTAGGGACACCTAATTTGGGAGGTGAGGAAAATCCAACTCAAGGAGAAGAAATGCCACCTCCTCCACTACCTCAAGTTCAAGTTCAACAACGCCAATCACTACCTCCATGACCACCCATTTTAAGAGCACTACAATAAGGGGCAGAAGTTAACCATCAACAACAAGGGGAAAGGTTCAACCATCAACAAGGGCAAAGGCCGAAACGGGCAATCTTCATGAACTTAAGCTTAACTTTTTGTTTTTGGTTTGTAACTTAAGTTAAATTCATTTGGAATTTTGGTTTGTACCCTAATATTTGGCTTTTGAGTTTGTAATGTAACTTATTTCATTTGATTGTATGCATTATAAGTAGTTAGATAATACTATAGAAGTATAAATTTGGCTTTAGTATGAATTGGTATGAAATTATGAATAGGAATTGAAATTTGAAACTAGGTTTCAATTTAGGGATGGCAACAGTTCAGTTTAGGGACTGAAATGCTATATCCATTCGCATAACCATGAAAATTAACTATATTCATAATCACAAATTAACTATCGGGTTTTATCCATAACCATACCCATCAGGTAACGGATTCTCCATTGGTTAACGGTTATATCCATCTTCGTCAATACGAAAAATATATTCGTTCAATTGACGCATGATAATTTAGTAAATATTAATTCAAAATTAAATATTTGATGTATAAAATGATTTAATGAATGGATCTTGTGGAGCATAAAAATTAAAGCTAAACATTGATAATGTTATCTTTGAAATCCCATAAGTACCATTGAATTCTCATAGATTGATTCATATCAAAACTTTTGAACTTTCCCACAAAATGAAACTCACACAATGCAATTTTTGTATTCTCAAGGTAATGGATTCGATGAATAATAAATATACATATATATATTATTTATATATATAACTCGGTTCAGATTTGGGGACAGAGACGGATTGAGGACCCTTATAACTATATCCAAAACCATAACTGAATAATATTCACAGTCTTTCCCCATACCCAAATATACCCGAATTTTTGTACCAAAATCCAATCCATTCGGGCGGTTATCCACGGTTATCAGGTTTAACAATTAGAATTGTCATCCCTTCAATTTTTTACACTTTCCAAAAAAATTGGGCTGACCAAATTTCAGCCCAAAATCCCCAAAAAAAAAAAAAAAAAAAAAACAAAACAAAAAAAACCCAACAATTTGGGCTAAAGGCGCAGTCCCGACTGTATCAAAATACCGAAATTTTTTGGGAATACCGAAATTTCGGTTCGGTTTCGATTTTCGGAATTCCAGCTTGAAAAGGATCGGTTCGAGATTCAGTATGCCATTTTCGATTCAGGATCCCGATCCTCTAGAAATAAAGATAAGTGTGTATGAGCAGAAAAATGATCTATAGAAATCGTTTTAGAATATAGAGTAATCCTAAGTAGACTAAATTTGCTAATTAAATGATGTGTCACTACTAAGAAATAAGCACGTTAATCAACACTTGAGTATTTATTATTCTATGTATTGAATTATCAAAATAATTTGAGGGTTTATTGTTTTAGGGACGCCTACTTTAGGAGGTGAGGAGAATCCAACTCAAGGAGAAGAAATGCCCACCTCATCCACCACATCAAGTTCAAGTTCAACAACACTAATCACTACTGGGGCAGGGCAAATGGGTCTTAGACTCACAGGTCGGGGCGAGTACGAGGCGGGTACATATATTGTAAATTCAAAACGGGGCAGGGCGGTACATGCCCATTTAATTAGTGGGGCGGGGCGAGTACAAATTTAAGAGAAAACGGGCCCCCGGCCCCAACCATTTCCACCGTTCATTATAGGGAGATTAAATCTCCACCGTTTATTTCTTAGGTTATGTAGAATTCTCCAAACTTCTAGAGAAATCCTGACTTCGATCACAAACTTTCTCTAAGTCTCTCTCGCCCTCTCTTCTGCTCTTGAGAAAACTCAGAGGAGGCGTTATAACAACCGCCATGAGTGCAGCGGCCGAAGTTCTTTCTCGGGCTGAGGTGAGTGGCTCGCAAATTCATCGACTAAAACATAAGGGAGTACACGAAACGTAGAGCCGTCGAAGCGTTTTGTCAGAATCGGAACCTTTCAGACTCGTCTGCCATTTCCGCCGCGTTCTCAGATGGAGCTGGAGGTTGCCAAGCGGCAGGCTGTTATTTACTCTCTCTATGCTCCCAAGCTCAAGAGCGTCATGGAGGTTGATTCACAGCAGCCTCCAAATCTTGACTCCTCTCGACCTTGATCTTGAATTCTCCTAGCTTCGTCCATTTATTAACTGGCCGTTGAGTGTTTATGCATGAGGGGCTTGGTTGTCTAACTGTAATTATTGTTGGAAAAGCAGAAGCAGTTGACGAGGACGATGACCGGAGTGCCGGTGGGGATGGGGCCGACGTTGGACACGTTGTTTGTGGATGCGATCTGGGTGGGGAAGGAGTTGATAAGGTAGGCGATGAAGAAGGGAGAGTTGTAGAAAGGAGGGAGGGAGCGGAATGTGAGGTAGAAGAGGCATGAGGAAGCGACGCCGTTGTAGACGTAGCCGTCGGTGGTGTTGTAGTGGTTGTAGCAGTCGAGTTGCTTGTTATCAACTAGTAGCGCCGATGAGTCGTCGGGGGTCAGTCAATCTCCATGAGCAGCCTCTTTGTTCTTCTTGGGTTACCTCGCTATTGTAAGAACCAGCCCGTTTCAAAACGGTGGGGTTAGGTCCGAATCTCATTTTGAAAAATCCAAAACCCACCCCGCCCTGCCCCGTGTTATTAACAAACAGGTTCGGTCCAGTTCCTTCAATTTTGGGCTCGGACCGACCTGTGCACACCCCTAATCACTACCTCTACGACCATCCATTGCAAGAGCATTACAACAAGGGGAAGGGGTCAACCATCAACAAGGGAAAAGGGCGCAATCTTCATGAACTTAAGCTTAATTTTTTGCTTTTGGTTTGTAACTTAAGTAAAATTCATTTAGAATTTTGGTTTGTATCCTAATTTTTTGCTTTTAGGTTTGGAATTTAAGTAGTTTCATAGTACTATAGAAGTATAAATTTGGCTTTAGTATGAATTGGTATAAAATTATGAATTGGATTTGAAATTTGAAACTGGTCTTCAATTTGTTACACTTTCCCAAAATAATAAGCAGACTAAATTTCAGCCCAAAATCCAAAATAAAAAAAATATAAAAAAACCCAACAATTTGGGTTGAAGACTTAGCCCCGAATTGTATCGAAATACAAAATTTTTGGAAAATCGAAATTTCGGTTATGTGTAGGTTTTCGGATAGGTTCGGGATTCAGTATGCCATTTTTTAATTCACAATCCTGATCTGCTAGAAATAAAGATGGGTGTGTATGAAAAGAAAAGGTGATCCATAGAAATCATTTCAGAATAACATGTTAGGGGCATACATGACATACCTGATGGTTCAGTTGAAGTTGAATTGCATGTGGTTGCAGACGCCTGATTTTTGCAATAGCAAGTGAATCCACCAGTCGTCGTGTTAAGCCCACAGCGACCTCCTGATCGCTCACAACTATTGCATTGATCATTATCAATCTTAATTTCCAATTTAAAACCACCGTCTATCGCGTCCTGGAGAGTCGTTGGATTGCTTTCGAAAGCAGCTGTACTAAAAATTGGAACAGTGACATTGACTTTACAGAGGCGGGTGTCAACTTGATCAGATCCGTTGTTTACATTGCATATATCGGAACTATAATTAACTCTCGGAACATCCACCTCGCACCCGTAGTAAAATGTCACGTTCGTAAGACCGGAACTATAATTAAACAGAGAGAAGTTGATCCTGGTGTTAGCAAAACTCGAAGGACAGAGAGTATTCCAATAGTCCTGCCTAGCAACTTTAATAGTCCGAGGACTACTTGAGTTCATTTCGAGAATTCTGTAGTTGATATTCGACATGTTGATCACCGGGACATCATCTAGGCATCGGAGCTCGAACCCAGGTTGGCCACAGTACTTGGGTCTGTTTACACCCCAAAAGGGGTACGAGATGTCTCTGATTCCGCCACAGCTAATAGCTTTGCTGCAGATTGAGTAGGGTTGACACAAACATAACTCAAAGTTGATTGAGATAAAGGAAGTGACCAAAAGGAAAGGAAACAAAGACCGAAGCAGAAGGGAATGCATGATTTTAGGATGGTGAGGTGAGGGACAAAGTAAGACCAAGTTAAATAGAAAGAGGGAAGCATTCCAGCTCAGGATAATTTATTTCAACTAGGAAATTAAGGGTTTGTGATCACTGGCATACAATTAAAAGAGCTTCAGGGTGGGCTCCAAGTGACTCCAGGTCTGCTGACCTTGTACATGTCTTATTTCTGTCTTTTTGCTAATATTGGCACATATCCTCCAACTTAATTTACAGATAACTATGTTAACTTTTTTCTATGACTTGTTTTATTAACACTTCACATATTGTTGAATATATCTGACATACTTAATACACTCCACATTTGCTACTTTAAATAAAATTTATCTAATACACTCCATATACCTTTTCATAATACCCTCACACCCCACACCTCAATATACACCCAACATTTTCTATACACACCCCCACACTATTTATATTTATAGATAATGCTAGGGAGACTATATAGTTTGTAAACTAAATGACATAGAAGTTGATGATTGGATTATCACTTAAACGTTGATTAACGTACTTAATTCTTATTGATAACATATCATTTAGTTTGCAATTTTAGTCTACAAATTTAGTCTCTCTAACATTATCCTTTTAAAAAAAAATTTTAACCCACCGCCCCACCACCTTCTCCAACAAGAACCAACCACAATTGTTCTTCTTCTTCTTCTTTCATGCCATGCCAAATGTTGATTAAAGAAGTAGCATTGCGTTGGTTAAAAACTTGAGGTCACAACATTTAAAGGAAAGACAGTGCTTCAGTTCCTCTATTTCTTTTTGTTTAGACTTCAACCCAGGATAAGCGGGACAATGCTCCGAAATGTGAAAGAAACGCGAAAGAAAGGGACAATCTTTCCGAGCTCCCTTTTTCTAAATATTCACCGGAATGTAATTTATTCTCCTCGAAAATAGGTGGGAAACCAGACATCCTTGAAACAAGGTTTGCAGATGAGGGCCTTTGTATTGCTTCTCTTAGCCGCACAACCAACTAATCAGACTAATTAAGAGGTTAATTGATTTGATTGGAGGAATTAGGTTCAGAAAGATGGAAATTGCCAAAGGAGGAGTACGAAAATGGGGACAAAAGTTGGGTTAATTGATTAATATCAATTATCGATGTGAAGTGTGTTTGGTTTTGGATTAAGATTCTCTTATGAATATTTTTTTTTTTTTTCAATCAACGTTTTTGTAGTTTTATTGGTTATGATTTTGTTCTACAATTGAGAGTGAAAGCAGTTTTGTGAGTTGAAGAAGATAATAATCATGGAATGTGTGATTTGAGGTGTATTTAGAATTTTTTTATCACCATATGAGGTCGCAATAGTTATTGCATATTAAGGCAAATGAGTCATTTAATATTTAATTTTAATGTGGGGGTGCTAACAGAAAAAAGCCTTTTTCTATTTGATAATTTTTTTTTTTTTTGAACAAACGATATTCTCTGCGCTGAGAGGATGGGGGAGTGGGTTAAACCTCATAATGGGCTAAACCTCACAGTGCGCTAAGAATATGTGGTCAAATTTGATTTTGACGAGAATCGAACTTAAGATCACTCATTTATAAATGAAAATAAATATTACTAAACCGTAGTAAAGTTGAAAAAAAAAAATATCCAAAATAATCAGACCGACTTTTATGTTAACAAGTTGGTCAAATCGAAAAGGATTCTTCACTTTCTTTCTGTAGTAGTTGGGTTCACACGGTGAGACTATTCAAAATACATTTCCGTGGTCGTGGGTTTAGGGCAACTTTTCAAGTGTAGGACTTTTGAAACATTTAATGTGTTAATGGCATAAAGGCTTCCAGGGGGGCCTCCAGTTGGCTCCAGGTCTGTTGTCTCCTTGTGTATGTCTCTTTTCACACATATATTCTAACTTAATTGAGAGATAACTCTATTAAATTTTCTATTTGACATTTCAAAGTTAAAAAAAAAAAAAAAAAAAAATCCAAAATAATCCAACCGTTTTGATTATTTTTATTTTTTATTGAACAAATGATATTATCTACGCTAAAAGGAGGGAGTAAACTTAAACTTATAATGGGCTAACAATAATGTGATTCATATTTGTCTTTGGCGAGAATTGAATATAAGATCTTTTACTTATAAGTAAAAAAAAATATCACTAGATCACAATATCATATGACAAATCCGACCGAAATTTAGGTTAACAAGTTGAGCAAATCCGAAATGATTCTTTACTTTCTTTCTGTGGCTGTTGGGTTTACAAGATGAGAAAATTGTAAATAGGATTCTTCACTTTTTTTTCCCCTGATTGCGGGATTTGGGCATCTTTTGAAGTTTTAGGACCTTTGAAACATTCCACGAGTTAATGACATATAATTAAAAGACTTGTAGGGCGGACTCCAGGCGGCTCCATGTCTGTTATCCCTCTTTTTTTTTTTTTTTTTTTTTAATGTCTCCTATGTGTCTCTTTACGAATATTTTGACATATGTCTTCTAACTTATTGAGAGATAACTCTGTTAACTTTTCTATTTGACATTTCAAAGTTTAAAATACTTCAGAATAACCACTTAATACTATAGTCTAGTTGTATTCCTCTTCACTTTTAAGTGAGAGGTTAAGTTCGATTTTCGCCAAAAGCGAATTTGAATTACATTATTGCTTGTTCATTATGAGGCTAAGCCCATCCCCTACTCCTTAGTGTAGATAATATCATATTTTCCAAATAAAAAAAACTCTAGAATAATTAGGCTGACTTTTAGGTTAACAAAGAGCAAATTTGAAATAGGATTCTTTAATTTCTTTCCGTGACTGTTGGGTTTACAAGGTGAGAAAATTCTAAATGGGTAATGCTTGGAAGATCAAATTTTAAACTAAATTTTATAAACTAAATGATGTGGATGTGGATGTTGATGTTGATGATTGAATTGTTACTAAGGGTTGATTAACGTACTTATTTCTTGTTAGTGACATATCATTTTATTTGTAAATTCTGTTTAATTTTTTGGTCTCTTTTTTTACATGGTTGTGGGTTTAGGACCACTTTTCAAGTTTAGGACCTAGAATCATTCAATGAATTAATGATAAGGAACTGTTATTGGCACTTCAAACTTTCTACAATTAGAAAGAAAAATACACTTATGAGAAGTGTAGATTAATATTTTTGTAGTGCTAATAACAGTTCCTAATAATATATAATTAAAAGATTTTCAGGTTAGGTGGCCTCTTGGGTGTTGATAATTGATATGGAAGCTTCCCGTAGGTCATCCAATTTATTGTCCATAAAATTGAATGAGGATCCTCTTTGTGAGGATTCTGGGGATTCTCCAATCGTGTTCGTTCATCGTATATCGTGCGGCCAATTTTTATTAGGTACTATTTATGTTCAATTTTAAATAAAAATATTTAAAATAATTTTTGATCGCACGATATACGATGAACGGACACAATTAGAGGATCCTCATTCCATAAAATTCATGTGCCCACCCAATTGTAATAAATGAATATTCAGCAAAACTGACCAAACACATGTAGTAAAATTCATCTGAATCATAATAATCATTTTAAAGTCATACATACGAAAAATTAATCAAATTAAAAATTGTTTAAGGAAATTGTTTAAGGAAACTTTTTTAGTTCTTCCACATAAACTACTGTCGTGGGTATCAATGGCGCAGTCAAACTCAAGCCAGATCTACCATGGATGAGGGAGATCGGATTACGTACCTCTTCCAAAATTAAGAAGAAAAGTATCACTAGACTAGCTAGTTGGTGTACTTTATTGAATAGAATCATAAGGAAACATGTTTCTGTTATAGGCTTATTTGACTGAACTGTATAAAGAACAGAGAGGGAGAGGGGCCGGCGACAACAAGAGAGAAGAGAGAGATTTAATTATGAGGTGTGTCTTCCCAATATGTCTTTATTTATAGTAGTAAAATAGATATAATCCTTACTTTTTTAGGATTACATCTCTTAATAAGTAATCAACTCCTAATAGGAATATACAAGATACTCCTAGTTACAATAGGATTTACACAATCACATTCCTAATCCAATAGGACTGCAACACTCCTCCTTGAGTTTGTAAATACTCAAACAAAATGTTGCATCAGATCTTCAGCAGATGAGGTAGAACAGTTGATTAAGTCGTCGGCATAATGGGTGAACACGAGTCTCAAACACAAGTAAGTAAGTATGCATTAGTAGTAAAACTCACAAAACCTTGCTATGGTAAAGCCCAAGGCATGGGGAAAACACATAGACTAAGGAGAAAAGTGAGAAGTATGTAGAATGTCTTAAACAAATGTCAAACAGGACGAAAATAGTGAACTCAATGGAGTATAATCATCCCAGGATGAGTGCCTCGTTACAACCACGTTAGGTACCAAAAACCCAGTGGGAAAAATGCTCCTAATTGTAGGAAAAAGAGTACATCAAGATCAAGTGTGTATGCTTCAGGATACTCCCCCTGAGTTAAACATAACTTACAAATAAAACTACAAGCAATTCAATTCAGATAATTTACACATACCGATTCCTTGGACAAGCTTTTGAAAAGTAGAGTTGGGTAATGACTTCGTGAAAAGATCAGCCATGTTGTCCTGGGAACAGATTTGCTTGACTTCAATGTTCTGATATTGTTGTTGCTGGTGAGAATAAAATAACTTCAGCGCTATGTGCTTGGTGTTGTCTCCCTTGATGTATCCCTTCTTTAATTGCTCAATACATACTGCATTGTCTTCAAAGATCGTCGTAGGAAGGTTAACGACGGAAGAAAGACCACTAGTGCTTCGTATATGTTCCACAATAGCTTTAAGCTAAAACAATTCTTGCGAGGCTTCATGTAGGGTGAGAATCTCAACATGGTTCGAAGACGTCACAACTAGCGTTTATTTAGTAGAGCTCCAAGATATAGCGGTGTCTTCAACGGTAAAGACATAGCCCGTTTGAGAACGTGCCTGATATAGGTCAGACAGATAACCAGCATCTGCGTAACCAACGAGATAGGAATCAACCTGAGGATCGAGGGGGACAGCGGTTCCTCTTGAGGATTCATGGGTGTAAAACAAGCCTAAATCCATTGTACCTTTGAGGTAGCGGAAAATATTTTTTAACACCATTCTAGTGTCTGCGTGTAGGTG